CCGACGGTAGTGCTAAGCAAACAGTTAAATTTTAAAAGCGCGGTTGTAAGATCTAAAAGATCTTCTTGTTTATTCAGGAGTTGCAGCCAGCATTAAATGCCAATGTCAGCAGTGAAAAGCGGAAAGCTTTTCCATTGTTCACTTTACAGACAGTTTCTGTTTGAAAAGTCTTAAAATTTCTACTGCAGATGTTTTTCTGTCTAGGTTCTAGACCCCCATTGATACAGTGTAAATAGCTTTTCAAAAAGTTTAACGGTTATACTTTTGAAAATGTATGTTGACTAGCATACGAAACGTCAAGTTCATAAAATGCATGTTTTTAAAATGTTTATCACCGCTGTTTGTTTTATATTTTTAACCAAGCTACGATAGCCGAAGACCAAGAGTTTATATGACACTGTTGGTTGTTGACTTAAATCAGGTCCGAAACCTGGTCCTTGGTGATTGACATGGCGAGCATGTACAACGGCTAACGCGGGAAAATTTATGTGAATGCCATGAGATATTAAACGAAACTCTGAACAGGGTTAATTCAGAGGCCAAGATGACTATTACGAGCTTCACTCCCCATTATAGAGCCCTTTCTGTCTACCCATGATGCACCGGCCTGGAGCCCAGGCCAGGTTATGTCCCGTGCTGGCAAATAGTTATTTCGGCCTTCTTCGCAAGCTCATTCGTCAGAAATAACATTCTTTACGGTCCAACTCGACTTTTAGTCATGAAAGATGGATTTATTTGACATCAAACTAAGACTAGGAGCATCAAGAAAACATTCTGTGAGAGATAAATCGACTACTTTGAATATTTACATCTTTCGCATATTAACTGAGCGGTAGCGGCCCAATTCTACCGGATGTCACTATTGAGAACTGATCGACTACACTAAAATCGTTTGAATTATCCCGTAAATCGGGAGTCCACAATCTTCTTCCTTCATTTGAGGTCAGTAATTATCATATACTTATCATTTGTTCCGCTAATAACCAGAAAAATTGCTAGTTTCACAGGTAAACGGTCTTTCAGCCGTTTACATAGCATGCTGAAAGATGGAATGTCAAGAGATGGTCGAAAGATGTCGCCTCTGCACGTAACACTGAAAGCGGGTGTAAAGCCTGCCACAGTAGTCTCTTTTTAGGTTTTGGCTCCATAGCTGGCAACAACACAGACAGTCAGCTCAATTTTAATTTATTCATAAGATGTGAATAACGGGAGGTTGCGGTGGACGCAGACGTCCGTGACAAAGTTTTTTAAGGCTGGCAGTTGCTTGCGTTCCGCAGAACATGGCGATCTACGCGTTCATAAAGGCTAAAAGGAAAAGTTAAAGACTTTTTGACCGGTGACTTGTCGAAGAAGTATTGATGGCTGCCGCAGAAAACGTTCGTTGTAATTTAAGTGTGGAAGAAAGAATACATGGTGAGTGAATGTTTATACAGGATGTCTGACATGGGTTTGTATTTTGAATCCAGTATTAGCTTGATTTCGCTTGAAACGGCAGAAATATCCATTCAACCGTTTTGAATCGAGTATGTATTCCTCTGAGAACGAGACAACCCAACACTGATATAGCATATACTAGTAAATCAGAGATTACGAGACTGCGTTCAACGCCCTCACATTAATATATATACCTTAAATAAATGATTTCACTAGCTGACTTTCAACCTTTGTCTATTGCTATTAAAATCAACATTTTTCAGCAGCAACCGAGGTTTTACAGTCAAATATGCGTAGTGTCAAAGTCCATGCTAGTGAAGAGGTCATATAGCGTATAAAAGATTGCGGAAGCATGAAAAAAAATTACATGAATTTCATATACGTGTACAAAATTTTGATTTCGAGGTGATTTGCTTTGTCTGTTTATGATTCGTGTGACTGGCTGGGCGCGGTAACTACAACCACGCTGGTTGTGAGTCAGATTCTTCGGAGTCTTTCTTCCCGTTAACGACGTTTCAGTGTTACGTGCATAGCAACCATCTCTCGACATGCCATCTTTCGGCATGCTATATATGTAACCTGGCCTACGTCAAAATGTAAGCGCAACAGACTTCTTTACGGTCGAACTCGACTTTTACTAATGAAAGATGGATTTATTTGACATCAAACTAAGGCTAGGAGTATCAAGAAAACATTCTATGAGAGATAAATCGACTGTTTTGAATGTTTACATCTTTCAAATATTAACTTAGCGGTAGCGGCCCAATTCTACTGGAAGTCACTATTGAGAACCGATCGACTACATTAAAATCGTTTGAATTATCCTGTAAATCGGGAGTCCACAATCTTCTTCATTCATTTGAGGTCAGTAATTATCATATACTTGTCATTTGGTCTGCTAATAACCGGAAAAATTGCCAGTTTCACAGGTGAACGGTATTTCAGCCGTTTACATAGCATGTCGAAAGATGGAATCTCGGGAGATGGTCGAAAGATGTCGCCTATGCACGGAACACTGAAAGTGGGTGTAATGTGTTGGACATTGTTTTGTGATGTCGTCAAACTTTTCCCACCAATTCGTTGTCATGTACATTTTGCCGCGTATGCTATTCACTCATTGCACCAGAATTTCTCCCGGTAGGTAAACACTTCTGCGACTTATAAATTTGCATTTCCCCTTCGATTCATTGTCAGTATTTATGGAATTGAACTGAACTGAATTGAATTGAATATATGGTAATTTGCCCAGACAGACCTTCAACAAACTTTTTATGGAATCTTGTTATGGATTAACACTGAGTTTAAGTAACCTATTTATGTTTTAAAACAATGGGAAATATAAGAAGAGAAACCAATAATCACAAGAAATGCATAACCATCTTTAAGTCTCATCACTTGCTTGAAGTACTTCAGCGCTGAAAAAATTTTCAAGGTTTTAGCTTGAATTTCATCAATTAAATTGCGAGAACTTTAGGACGTGCAGATGACAAGTTGTTGAATGGTTCTCGGGTTAATTTACACGGGCAGTTTATTTTTGGCGTTTGAGTTTGTTTCGAGGCAACACGACTTTCCAAGGAAACCGAAGGTGTAAATTTCTCACATTTCCTAGACATGGTCAAAACTGGACTGTTCTTTACTTTTCTTTCCTAGAAGTGAACTGCTAACTATGAAAATCGTGAGTGGAGTATACCATTTTGACTGAATGAATATACGCGATATGAACAGTCCTTTTCAAGCGGTGTGAATTTTTAAATAATTATTATTTTAATTTCTTAAATTTCTATTTCTAGTTTATTTATGTGTTTAATTATTCTTTTAACTCACTTTTAAATTTATTTTATTTCAATTTTTTTTTTCAATTTTCGTTTTTTAATATTTTTTTTTTACACTCCGCACTCCGCACTCCGCACTAAGCGTTTTCGGAACAGCCATCAGCTACTGTTGCTGTAGCTTTGATTCTGAGTAAACTGGAAGCTTTTCCCGAGAGTTCATCTTGGGCGTTCAGTTTAAAAATTCATACCCCGCAAAAAAACAGCTTTCTGCGACAAAGGTGTTTGACTCTCTGATTTAACAATGTTGTCTCTCATCGGTTTATAGTAATAAATATTGGCCTGCAACCGACGTTGGCTTTCTAATTTTAAAACGGACTCTTCATGGACAAATTGCACTACAGGCAGACCAATCCATCTGTGTGACGCGCTCGTGACGTAACGATATGCTATTTGATTTCATACATTTACTGTAATTTGTAACATTTGATATCACTTTGAGTGAAACGATCGAGGAAAATACTTCATAAAATGTGCAATTTTGCATCTTTTGATCCCAAATTCTGATGGACTGTGAGCCAGATAAATAAAGTTCACTTACCTTTTAGCCACTGTGTGGTCCTGTGTGATTTAATAGAGTTTTGGGTCGGTTGACTTTGCGCTAGCTGTCAACATATCCATAACTCTTATGTGACCTCTTCAGGGCTTCGAAATGGACAATACTACAAAACATCTAGTGAGGGTCGCTGGGAAACTACATGTAATAGCATGAACTGTACACCCCTATACACACCCCTATGCAGCTCTATAAAGCACTATAAATCCCTATACAGCACGATACACTCCTATACTGCATTGTCGAGCACTATACAGTACGATATATCCTTATACAACACTATACACCTCTATACAGCACTATACACCACTATACAGCACAATACACCTCTATACGGTACAATACACCCCTATACAACACTATGCACCCCTAAACAACACTCTACACCCCTATACAGCACTATACACCCCTATACAGCACTATACACCCCTATATAGCGCTTTACACCCCTGTAAAGCCCTATACACTTATATACATCACTATACACCCCTATACAGCACTCTACAACCCTATATAGCACTACACAGCCATATAGAGCTCTGTGAACCCCTATACAGCTCTGTACACCCCTATACAGCTCTATACACCCCTATACAGCACTATACACTTCTATACAGCACTATGCACCCCTATACAGCACTATATATTCCTATACAGCACTATACACCCCTATACAACACTTTACACCCCTATATAGCGCTTTGCACCCCTGTAAAGCCCTATACACATATACATCACTATACACCCCTATACAGCACTCTACAACCCTATATAGCACTACACAGCCATATAGAGCTCTGTGAACCCCTATACAGCTCTGTACACCCCTATACAGCTCTATACACCCCTATACAGCACTATACACTTCTATACAGCACTATGCACCCCTATGCAGCACTATACACTCTTATACAGCACGATACATCCCTGTACAGCACTATACACTTACTATTGACACTGATGTTAGAGTAAACTGATAACAGTTCTTCCGACCAGCTTACTATTCACACTGATGTTAGAGTAAAACTATGTGCTAATTGTACCAATGTTGTGGTCTCCGAGAGTTAATTTCTAATTTTGATGAGACCAGATGCCCTCTTGAGGTTGATGCAAAACAGTTTCTAGATGTATCCATCTATAGTGCTGTGTAGGGGTGTCTAGTGCTGTATAGGGGTGTCTAGTGCTATAAGGGGGTGTCTAGTGCTGTATAGGGTTCTACAGTGCTGTATAAGGGTGCATAGTGCTGTATAGGGGTGTATAGTGTTATAAAGGGGTGTCTAGTGCTGTATAGGGGTGTATAGTGTTGTATAGGAGTGTATAGTGCTGTATAGAGGTGTATAGTGCTGTATAGGGATGTATAGTACTGTATAGGGGTGTATAGTAATGTATAGGGGTGTATAGTGCTTTATAGGCGTGTCTATTGCTATGTAGGAGTGTATAGGGGTGTATAGTGCTGTATAGGGGTGTATAGGGATGTATAGTCCTGTTTAGAGATGTATAGTGCTGTATAGGAATGAAGAGGGCTGTATAGGGGTTTATAGTGTTGTATAGGGGTGTATAGTGCTGTATAGGGGTGTATAGTGCTCTCTCTCTCTATATATTTATATTTATTTATTTATTACAATTTACTCCAATACAATACGAATACATTATGAATAATTAAGATAACTAACTAAAAACAAACAAACAAACAAAAAAACAGTGGAGAAGGAGACAACCAAAAGCGTAAGGGCACCATACTAGGGATGTCCCCACTTATTAATTGAAATTATATATACAAATATACAAATACAAATACAAATACAAATATACAAATATTCTAATTATCCATAAGATAACTTAAAACATTCCTTTTAAAAGTTCCAATAGAGGTGTATAGTGTTCTATAGGAATGTATAGTGCTGTATAGTAATGTATAGTCCTGTATAAGGGTGTATATTGCTGTATAGGGGTGTATAGTGCTGTATAGGGGTGTATAGTGCTGTATGGGGTGTATAGTGCTGTATGGGGATGTATAGTGCTGTATAGTGCTGTATAGGGGTGTCTAGTGCTGTATAGGGGTGAATAGGGCTGTATAGGGGTGTATAGTGCTATATAGGGGTATATAGGGGTGTTTGGGGGTGTAGAGTGCTGTATGGGGGTGTGTAGTGCTGTATAGGGGCGTATAGTGCTGTATTAGGGTGTATAGTGCTATATATGGGTGTATAGTGCTGTATTGTGGTGTATAGTGCTGTATAGGGGTGTTTAGTGCTGTAGAGGGGTGTTTAGTGCTGTAGAGGGGTGTATAGTGCTGTATAGGGGTGTTTAGTGCTGTAGAGGGGTGTATAGTGTTGTATAGGGGTGTATAGGGGTGTTTAGTGCTGTAGAGGGGTGTATAGTACTGTATAGGGGTGTATAGTGCTGTATGGGGTGTGTAGTGCTGTACGGGGATGTATAGTGCTGTATAGTGCTGTATAGGGGTGTCTAGTGCTGTATAGGGGTGAATAGTGCTGTATAGGGGCGTATAGTGCTGTATAGGGGTGTATAGTGGTGTTTGGGGGTGTAGAGTGCTGTATGGGGGTGTGTAGTGCTGTATAGGGGCGTATAGGGCTGTATTAGGGTGTATAGTGCTGTATATGGGTGTATAGTGCTGTATTGTGGTGTATAGGGGTGTTTAGTGCTGTAGAGGGGTGTATAGTGCTGTATAGGGGTGTGTAGTGCTGTATACGAAGGTAAAGTGCAGTATAGGGGTGTATAGGGCTGTATAGGGGTGTATAGTGCTGTATAGGTGTGTATAGTGCTGTATAGGGGTGTATAGTACTATATAGGGGTGTATAGTACTGTATAGAGTTGTATAGTACTGTATGAGGATGTATAGTGCTGTATAATGGTGTATAGTACTATATAGGGGTGTATAGTACTGTATAGGGGTGTATAGTACTATATGGAGGTGTATAATACTGTATGGGGATGTATAGTGCTGTTTAGGGGTGTGTTGGTCGGATAATATACTTTGTGCTGATACATGAAGTCGACCCTCACTAGATGTTATTTAGATTTCTCCCTTTGAAATCTAGGAGTTACCTTGCTAAACTGAGACGAGACGTTTTTGTCCTTTGTTCCTATACATCTAAAGCCCCACATCCAACCACAAGTACTTTCAGAGCAAGCAGCGCCCGTCTCGAGATTCTTCATCAGTGTCGCCAGTACTCAGATGATTTTCAGTTTAACCAGTCAGATGGATTCCCACTATCCCCATGTGTGTTCCAGGCCCCCAACCCCTTTGTCGTAGTGCAATTTGTCGTGGCGGTCGTCGACGAAGACACTGGAGAAATCTGGGCCTGCAACGCGACACCAGAAAAACACCAGATATATGTGACGGTAAGTTGATCATAATCCTTGATAAACAATGTTCAACAACCACATTTGTTCATAGCTTTCCAGTAGAATACCATGAAATATGTTACAAAACAGTTGTTAGTTTTCTGGTACACAAACGAGCCTTTAGGCTATTTAAAACCATGTATGTGAATATATGAAAACTCATATATTTGAGCCTGAATTTTTTTCAGGCTTTACTTTCACTACTGCTTAAGTAGTGTTCATAACTGCGATGATCACACACGTCTTTATTAATACCATGCCGTAGAAAACACATACAGTATGCATATTGAGCCAGTGCTAAGTAAGCCCAGTGCAGGATAGGAAAGATCGACAAATATGCCAAGGCTTTGATTTACTTTGATTGGTTATAGTGTCTATGACATACCATAAAATACAGTAACTTTGGTTTGGCTAATTGCTTGACCAATAAAGTAGCTATCGAAATCATTTCATATATTTCCTTTTTCAGAGGGATGGGATGTTCCGGATTGTACCGGAAGTGGAGCCATATGCTTGGATGTTAGCTCGCGACATTGACTGTAGAAAAAAGTCAGTTCCGCCCTATGCTGGCAACTTGACTTTCATGTTACCTTTTGAACATGAAAAGCCCTCTCACCATTTGGTACGAATCAAACTGTGCCAAGTTGCTGACTATAATTGCGAAGGTATGTGATTGAAACTTGAAAGGGAGTAGAAATGGCGCACTACTGGTGAGAACGTGGCATATATATGGGTTCAGTTTGTTATTGTTTTTCCTATACTCGCTCGGAGAGGATTTTCTCTTTGTACTCGGTTTTGCCCTTACTTTTGACCTTACCAAATAAGGTCTCTTTTGCTCTATTCGAACTAGACGGCTTTTCAAGGTAACTTGAGGCCAAACCAATGCAGCTGTACCGCCAAAATCACCACCAGCTACCACCGAGACTCAATCTATAACAGCCTTACTGATTGGTCATCGTAGGCTCCATGTACCGTCAGTGAGACGCTTTTGTCATTGTGATTTTCCTAGTTCTAGATGAAGTTCGGTTCAGCATTACGTCACACGAGAGGGGTACACATTACAGCGACTTTCAGAGCGGGAGAACGGTCACGGAAATAGAAAAGCCAATCCCAAGGATACAAATGCAAGGTATGATCCTTCAAGGTCGTCCCTCCATGGTGCCATATTATATTTTTGCTTTTTGTTTAATTGGCTTTCGAGGATCAGATCTGCCGTCTTTTCTGGGGGTGGAAGGAGTTGTAGATCCCGATCACAATTTCGAGCCCGAAACACGTTAATTATGTATTTCTACCCAGACTGGTATCCTAAAGTTTACCTCAGAGTAAAAAAGGCATTACGAAAATAATATAATCGCTGAATCCCTCAATCGCCGAAGTTCATCTTTTTAAAGGGGAATAACTGAACTGTACTAGCATTGTTGCCAATGGACTTCTACAGATTATAGTTTGTAAAACGCTGTTTTGCGCATTTTTTCTACCTGTTCTGCTTTAGGGGTGTTGGCCACAAAACTGGGCCGAACAGTGAGGATGCATTTTGTGAATCTCGGCGACAATGGTTTGTATAAGACTTTCAACTGGTTGGGATAGGTGGCTCACACCGGTTTTCAGCACTTTCCAGCACCTTTATCTTGATTAATCATTACTACCAATGCTTATACGTTATTACCTCAATAGTGGTATCAAACAAATGGCCAGTCATTGGTTAACAAGTCATGAAACTTTGTTTGACGTTATAGGCTACCTCTGCAACACTTGAACCTGTTAAAAACACCCCTAATTTTAGCTTTAAGTGACAATAGTCAAAAACGAGCTCGGTCATCCAATTTGTTATTGTCGGGAAATAATATGCATAATAAAACACAAATTTTTGCAAAGTTAAAACACTTTGTAGTAGTGGATTCACAGCCACCTTAAATTTTCGAAAATTTAAGGTAGCTCTGAATCCGCTTCAATATTTTTTTTAAACTTTGCGTAGTGTTGCATCTTGATACACTTATTACTTTTCAACGATAAGAAAGGGGGTCACTGAGCTCGTTGTTGAGTTATTTTTAGCTTAAAGCTAAAATTAGGGGTATTTCTAACAGGTTATAATGTTGCTATGGAAACCTACTGAGTAGAAAACATGTTCATAAATTGTTCAACAACGATTGGTCATTTGTTTTATACCACTATAGAGGTAAAAAGTTATAAAGATTGGTAGTGATGATCCGTTGATGTACAAGAGCTGAAAAGTGCAAGAAACCGGTGTTAGCCACCCTTAAGGAACTGAAGTGCAAAGGGCATAGATATATGAACTTTGTTCTAATTCATACCTTCCCGAAGTCAGGCTCACCTGAAAGGCGACATTCCACGCACTCACAAAAAAAAGAATTACGTAACTTAAACTTTAAAATGAATGTGTATTTATTTCCGAAGGCTTGTGCGTGTCAATGTGCGCTTTTGAAAGGAGATTCAACCGTGCCTTTCTTTCCTCCAACTGAATACGCATTGAAACTGCAATAAGCGTAAAAAACTCTCTTGGCCTTTAATAAACAACTCCACAAATCAAAACGGCGTGGTACAAAGAGTGTGCATACGAGCGGCGTAGATGCAAATAGTGTGGATACAAACAGCGTGGGTTGAAACTAAAACAGTAAAAGAGCAAAAGTTACAAGTTGCGACTAAGCTAAATTCGAATAAAGAAATAACAAAACTGCA